TCACCAGTTTTGTATATTGGCGTGACAATCGCTTCCTTCCAAGCAGGGGGAAGGCGGCCTTCGTCAAGCGACTGACGAAACACCAGGTGTAAATGGTTTGCCAGTGTGGAGGACGTTTCTTTCAGGATCCTCGGATGGACCTCGTCGGGTCCCAATGCGCAGAATGATCTTGTCCAAGAGTTGACGAATGTCCTCCACCGTGAAGACCAAGTCGGTTAGAGGCTGTTCGTAGTTTCTCCTTGACAAGAGTGGATGTGACGAGGACGCTGGGGCTGAGTATAGACACGCATAGTGTTCTCTGTAAGCCTCAGACACCACTGTTGGGTCATTCGTCGGTTCTCCGTTTCTGTCCCTCAAGGAGAACGCGGATGGCTTGTTTCTGCGGCGATGTCTCGTGTACTTGAACAGTACGTTTTTGTTTTTTCGAGCGAGGTCCAGAATGGTGGCTTGTTTTCGTATGTTCCATTGGCGGATTTCTGACTTACAACGATTCCGCATTTTACGAAATGCTTTGATCTGCAAAAACTTTGCCCGTTAATAAAACCTTTTGCGCCAAAACATTGCATTCTGTGGTTATGCGCTTGAACCAAATAGCCTGAATAAACCACTTTTTTGTAATTTCTTTTAATTAATCCTCCTTCCACATTTTTAGCGCGCATTCGAATTTGAAATTCCTGCTCTGGACGGTGGGGTGCCCATTATCCGCACAATGCAAAACGTTTACGAATCGAGTAAAAGTTTCCACGTCAAAAAGTCGCATTTTTTGTGTATGTGCTCAAACCAGAAGCGTCTTGACCTACGTTCATATTTTTGCAGCTCAACAAATTTCATTGTTCACTGGAGCAACCGTGCCTCTGTTTGAAAAGCCCTGGATGTTAATTTCGCACCATCTCTTAAACCCGGGGATGCTTAAATGGGGCTTATAAGTTTGGACTGGTACTCTCATTTCAATTTCCCGGTTGCTTTAGTTCATCAGGGACACGTCATGTCTTTCAAAAATTCCATTCGATTGCGCGAATACTGACCTCCCTCTATGGCTTCAGAAGTGGATTCACGTATGTTCAGTTGAAAACATCCTTCTTCGCGTTTAGAAAGGCCTCAGATGAGTAGTACATGAGGGGTTACTAAGTGGTATTCGTGCGTTCATCTAGTAGTCGAAGCATCAGCTCTGTTTTGCAAGACGAATGTGTACTACGGATGGTGCAGGCTGTCTCCATGACGAACGGAACGTCAAGGGATCCGAAGAAGCTAGTAAGCTTTGCGTTTTTTCCAATAAAATGCACTGAGCGTCAAGCGCATTTCTGTCTAAGGAGGCAATCACCTCTAATAATCTTGAACACAAACATAATTGTTCTAAGACGTTGTACGATTTGCTTCCGATAAATCGAAGGCTAGCCGCAGAGAATCTGGGCACCCACAGAGCCATACCGGAGTATGAAATGCCGTCGCATGAATTGAGACAGTTTGTAGTCGATGAATTCAGCAAGGTCCTTACAACTCCGGAAATGTAAAACTACCACCCGAAGTGTCGACCAGACCTGTTGAGTAGGTCCAGCAAAGCTGTGTTTACTCGTGGTGGATAACAATCCTTCCGTCCCGGCAAAACTTCAAAGCTCCCCAGATGTAGTAAACGACGACGGAACGCACGTGACCAGCCGTTTTGGGTGTGTTTCTGAGGTAAAAAAATACCCGGAATCTAGATACAAGATTTGGACCCTCTGTAAGATCCGGACGGTTAAGGATCTCACAGGACGATTGCGACTATTAGATTATACGCAGTTAGTAGCCAGTAGTCAATAGGAGCAGACAGACGTGGGGCAGCAGATGATATATTGAAGAGTGACAGGATCTGGTTCTACAGAAAAACGGATTAGCAAGTATCATGAATTAAGCATACGTACAATCAACAATGACGCAATCGGAAGGAGCGGGAAATAGTCACTGTTGCAACACGGATGTCTATAGGGGCAACAACAAGTAAGTACCAAACGATGTACAAACATACATATACTGACAGTCTGACAGTGTGAGTTGGCCTTAACGGCGCAGGAGTCAGTACGTTCAGGATGTGAGGGATTATCTTTCGGTGGGCGTCGACGCAGCCGCTCGCACCGCGCAACAGGTCAGATTACGCGGTTTCGTCCGTTGAAAACAAAGCTCAGCAAAGGCTATCTGGCAGGCGTGATACATGGGTAATACAAAATAACCAGCCGTTCCGGACGTCAGGTCGGTGCAGTTGTTAGCGCGCTCGCGTGCCGTCCGGAGGGTTCGGGTTCGACACCCGAGAGGCACGCTTTTCCGTCGGAGTGGGCGCTCAAAAAACAGGTGCAATCGAGCGCGAACTTCCAGGCAATGACAGACGGGCAACAAAATATTGATATCACTCACTGAGGGATAAGCAGATCTTAAGTAGGAACAAAGCGGGGGGAAACGAGCAGCAAGAA